TCATTCATATTGATGAATAATTCAATTCATGCAGGTAAAGAAAGTAACCTTGCAAACTGCAGCGGATGCCACCTACATGCACTCCCCTGTGCCATGAAAGCCAGTATCAAAACAATTCTGCGCAGAGATACAGAGGTGCTGTTGTCCAAGGAACACTGATAGAGTAAAACCCCCTTTTTACACACAAGTTTCTTCGTTCTATGTTGATGTCTATGTGATGCATACGTGATGACTGTTCAGGAGGTCTTATCCAAAACATGCAGTGGTACTACCTGGTGGTTTCCATGTAAAGCATTTAACAGCCTGCTTCTCGCTCCATTTTGCACAGCCATCTCAATAGATACGGAATCAAAGAAAGACGGCTCATAAAGATGAACCTGTGGCATCTGAAATGCTCCTTGAAAGAACAACAAAAAGGTATTTCCAACAGACATGAGCATCTCTACCCCAAAGACAAAATATCTCCCTTAACTTCTACCTTTATATATGAACAAATTTAGGTGGAGCAGTCACAGCTGAGAATCACTTACTTGCACTCTCGCAAAGCTAGTTTTTCTCTTGAAAGAAGAATGCTTCCCTGGAAAAACTCCAGTATTTAAAGTGGGAATCTTCATTAAAAATATCTGTAAAACATCCTCTATCAAAGGAAGGAAGGTAGGTTACCCAGGTCAACTTCCCTGAGTAGTCCCAGCAGATATATATACCTATATACATTTAAATCATTCCAGCTGTTTCATAGGCTCTGACACTATTCTCTTACCCACTTTGCTTTTAAGATCCATAAATAAATCACCACTTCAGAATTTAGAACATTATTCCAGAGTCTGTGCATCTTGCCCACTGAGTGGTTTCCTGATGTTGAGATTATGTTTTCCCTTTCTCAAAATAATATAATTGCCATATCCAAAACATGTTCCTAAATAATTCTTCCTCTCCTGCTCGTGACCACCCCCACATTTTGTAGCTGACATTGTCTTCCCTTAACTACTACTTGTCCAAGTCACAGAAGGCAGCTTTGCAATATAGGATCTTTAAAAGCTTTTTACAAGCCAAGAATTACAATCTCAACAATTCTAATTCAAGCAGCTCATGCTAGAACTAAGCACTGAACACTTACAACACCTGTAAGAGGACGTCCCTGTCACCACTGAGAAAATTTTAACTGTTGATGGCTTATTCACTGGTGTCTATAAAGAGTACAGAATCAGTCCCTAGGTTTACGATTTCAAAAAGTTTAGTATTTCAAATGTTAAGTATCATGTTGGGTATTTTGCATGTTTCCTTAGTTCTTCCACAACTCAAAAAGAATTTCAAGCATGCAGCAAAGCAAATTCATGGGTGAACTTGCCCAAAGTCTGAAGAGCCATAAATGGCTCTTTTTAGCAACGACATTTCCTGAGTAAATAATTTAAAACCAGTAGTGATCTTCATAAACATGCTACTTACACTCTTTGCTTTTTAAAGACTAGTGAGACTGTGTCACTGATGAGAGAACACACAGCAGTCTCTTAAAAACTCTGAGCAATAATAAGTAAAAAAGATATAACTTTCCTCTTCTCTCCATCTACTTTGTAGTGTGCATTTACACGCATGTTTTTGTATCTGTGTCTTAAGGCAAAGTGGAGCAAATATAAATATCTTGCTGATCTGAGGCAGTCAAAATTCATCTAAACTACCCTGTTGCAAGCCCTAGTTTCCTCAACATGATATTCAGATAGCTGTATATCTAAGTGCAATACGTTGAGGTAGCAATAATAACCGCATCCAGTATCCCACAATTACCTTATATATCACTTTGTCACCTTCTGATAACCCAGGACTACAGAAATGTATGACTAATGTGGGATTTCATGTTATTGCAAGACAAAAGTATCCTTGTACCACATTTGGGATGACAACTGCAGTTGGTCAGCATTTAAACACCTTGAACGTAACAGGTAGGGTAAAAACCATACTAGAGGTGTTACAAAGTTATAGACGGATGTCAAATTAGAAAATAAACACTCAGAACTAACAAATAAAGCAAATTAACAAATAAACAAATATATTGTTGGGGATTTTCCGTGGCTCTAGCCTTTCATCAGTTTGTTTTCCTTTTTCTTTATTTTCTTTTTTTTTAAATGATTCTGTAAGCTACAAGACCTACACAGATCTCATCCTGCTGATCAAACAAGACAGCAAGCAATCCAAGTCAAATTCCAGTTACACAATAGATTTAAGCTCAATAATCTCTGCACAGAAGAAAATTTACCATGGATGAAAAGTGTCACTTCCTTCACTATGGTATCAGATTTCAGCCTCTGAAAAATTGAGCTTTGGCTAGATACTTTAAATTAGTAGCAGGCCAAAAAGTAACTGTCTGGCATTAAATATAAGTAAATAAATAAATAAATATTTTATATAGATATATATAAAATAAACTTTCACATTGCCATGCTGGCATTTCATTTTCATGTTTATACATACACTTTCAATATACCTGTCCTTCAATACTCTACAATATCCTTATGTTTTGTAAAAAAAAAAAAAATAAAATCACATAAGATGTAAAAAAATACTTCCTGGGAAAGCATTCTTGGAGAAGGCAACAAGGGTCACAGATTAGAGAAAAAAGTTTTTTCTTTTTTCTGAAAATTTTTGTAACATCCATCTGTAAGCAGGAGACCTTCAATCTGAATCTGAAATTAAATTCTTGAGAATGAAAGATGCAAAATCAGTCACTGGAGAGAGAGACGACATTAGCTGTTTGGGGTGGGGGGGGATTATATTTTTACTTAAGGCACTATTCTGATTATGACATATATGAAGGAGGACTTCTGCCTTCAAAAGACTATTGAGAAACTTGTAAAACAATTCCACATGCCTTCGATGTGTTTTGGAGAGATAAAAATCTCACTCCTCCTACTCAGTCACCCGAAGCGATTGGGCAGTCTTGACAACCAAAACACATCAATAAAATACTGGCCCAGCTGTTCCCAATATATGCAATCCCGCCTTCCGTTTTGTTGCAACAGAATTTCAAATCCAATCCTTGTCTCAAGAAGCAGTAGCTCACAACCCCTTTCTCCAACTCTCACTGTGCTCTGTAGATCTGAGCATCCAGCAGCATCTCTCTTCCTCTTTGCAGGAACAGTCTGAGGTCACCTGACGTTTTCAGGTTCATTCAACACTTCAGACACTGCTGAAGCAGCTTTTTCTCTTTCCTAACCCCATCAGACCACAGGCGTGAGGAATACCAGCCCCAGCCTGTGTCAGCTAATTAGCCAGTAATTCCTTTGACATAAATGCGGCAAGACACATTAGCCCGGGACCTTTACAAGGAAATCTAAAACCAATTTGAAACTGAACCAATTCTCAGAATATCAGGAAGTCATCTCATGTCACCACCTAATTAAGGGGGTAACTTCATCTACAGTCAGCCTGAGAGATGTTTGAGTCCTAACAAAGACCAGAAAGATTCACAGCTAATTGCTTACAGGATAGTGCCATTATATTTAGCAGAGTTTGTGTGACAGACCACAAACATGTGTTTTCAAAAAAAAAAAAAAAAATTGTTGTTGACCTACCTGGATCTTAAATAGAACAATTATGCCAATTCTAAATCACTTTGAAAAATACAGCTGATGCGTCATTGACCCTCTGCTCCTTCCTTAAAAAACAGCACCAGTAATACTGAATATATCTCCTTTTTTTTTTTTTTCATTAATAGCTGCCAAGCCACTCAAACAAACATCTCTTCCCCTGTCCTCTTCCACCGCCTTTCACCCGCACATCATAGGCAGGATTCTGAGGTATTGCTGCAATGCAAACAACACAAACAGTTTTTAAAAGGACAGAAAAAAAAAAAAAAAAGTCTTTCCTTCCCCAGACAAGAAACAAAATGAGTCCATTGTGGAGAAAAATCACAAGCCACCAAGGTAAAACCACCAAGCTTGGGGAGCCCAGGAAAAGCATTAGCCTTATACAGTGTTAGATCCTCGGATCCAGGTCCCAACTCAAACACCGCAGCTTGGCTTTCCCTCAAGTCAAAATATCAAGTTGCTAATTTTCAGGCAGCCTATGGTTTTTCAGTGGCTTGCTCAACAGGCCCAGATTTCTTAAAATGGACTCCCTTTCCTCAGCTCGTTCTAAGTCACCCTAATTTTCTGGGTCTGCTGCCAAAAGCACACATCACCACCACACCTTGGGTGAGTAAAGCTGAAGGCCCAGTGCCAAGTGTTGCAATCACCAAAAACCAGTTGGTAGAATACACCAGGCACAAACTGCACTGCCTCTGTTACATCTTCCTGAAGCTGTAAAAATCAATCTTGAAAATCTTTAAAATACTTAAAAGACACTTAGCAAAAAAGATTATTCAAATATTTAAAACCCTATTTCATTGTTTTAAAATTATGAACACAACTGAGTTTTCAGAATAACATCTTCCTTTTTGCTCACAGAAAACTGTTGCTGTCTTACTGCTGAGCTATAGTATCAAGGTATCCTAATCAAGGGCAAGAAAAGAAGGTGAAAAACGCTTTCTAGTTAAGAAGCCAGAGTGGTAAAAGAAAGATTTATCAGTAACCAAGAAGAAAAGAGTAGTTGGACTTGACCACCTAGCTCCATGAAAAGGAGATGCAAAGGTTACTGCCAGCAATGGCATTGAAAATACAGACACATATAGAGTGATAGCCAAGTGCTACACTGTGTTACTGAATAAATACCTTGGTGTCTGCAAATACCACTATTTGGACTTGTACACTCCTCGTTATCATTCCAATCACCTGCAGTCTTAAAAGCAGAGTTTCCTTCCCTTTTTTTATCCCACCTTTGAAGTGGCAGTTTTTCTTTCAACCCTCCTCCAAGGTCATTAGCAAAGCTCTTGGATGCTTTTGTTCCCTCAATATTTGATTTCTCAGTATCAGAAGCAAGAAGCATTTCTTCCCAGATCAACTCACTAGCTGAGCTGAGTCCATAGAACTTAAAAAAAACCAACTTCAATGATTGCATCTTTAAGAGTCTTTAATGTGATTATGCATGGGTACTTAGTATTTGAAAGGTAGCTATTACACTGTATGTATATTGATATATATACAAGAGAAAATATGATCTAAGAATGACCAGTTAAATATATTTTCTTAAACATTTATCGCAAATGAATATGAAAAATCTCATGAACACTCCTCTGCCTGTGTTTTGGATAGCTGTGAGAATAAAACTGGAACAGCAACTATACACTGACCATCATAACACTGCAGAAGTCAGAGCTGGTTATCACAAATTTTGTCGCCATCACAAACACCTGTGAGCTCGCAACAGATTAATAAATGAAGACATGGTTATGGCCAAAGGCTAGGCTGTTAAAACTGTTTTTCCAAACACACTAAGTGTAGGATTTGAAAACTTAACTACTTCCCTCAGCTGCAAATTCTATTTGTTAGGCAATAGTTCAGAGAGTTCAGCAAAAATGGATGCAGTCAGATGATTTTTATCAGGCAGCTGGCAGAAAAATCAGGATGTTGTGTGTTGATCACTCTGGGGTAGTCCATCAAAAATACAGACTCAGTGCAATGACAGGCAAGCAAATTCACTGAAGGTCAGATTTCTGCCTAACAGATGGATACTAAGAAAACAGAAGACATCATGTGCAGTTTCATTCTTCAGTTATCAGTCTTCTTTCTCCTGGTGCAAACATTTTTGGTATATGGTTTACTCCGTGCAGTCACAAGCAGAGATCTGTGAACAAGGCAAGGCTTTTCTTGATCTTTGCTTTGATCCCTGGTTCAAAGACCACATACCACCAAGATTTGCATCCAAGTCTGGCACAGACTTTTGTGAGGTTGAAATCTCATTGTTATATGGCTGTATATCCAAATAGGACCCGATAGCTCGACAACTGCCTTTCCATTCCCTAAAATAGTGAAGAGAAATTTTTAAAGCAATCATAATTTTCCAATGACTTTAATGACAGAACCAGCACTAATCCTCACACACAGTATTGAATAAAACACATAATTTTGTTTTTTAACAAGCTAACTTGGATGTTCATTCTGTATGGATTCATGTTCCCTGAATATTTATTATTCCATTACCAAAACATTTGTATATCTCCTCCTGATGAGATTCATCAAACTTTAAGAGAGTTTAAGATGACTGAGGTGACGAACACTTTTTAAATTTCTTCTTGCGTTCCACTGCAGTTCGCAAAGCCTGAAGAATTAAATGTTTATTATTCAGGATGTTGTAGCTGCAGAGGTTCAGCAACTTGTTGAAATTCTCTTCAGTATATGTAAGTAGACCAGTGCCATAGGGAGCAATACAGTTAGACACATCTACTCTTCCCTGCTCCATCTCTGCAGGACTGCGCTCCACATCTGAAGTGAGAACATAGCAAAGTTCAATACATCACTGTTACTGAGATGGAAGACTCCTACCAGGCAAAGAAAAACATACAGTAACAACCCCAATAAACTCAGTTCTCTCAGGGAAACAGTTCAAAATTTAATTACTGTATAAATGCTACATCTGCTGCACTATTTCGCTCCTTGAGTACAGTCACAGCTGATCCAGAACTGACTGGAAGAACAACTTTTTCATGCAAAATGCTTTCTTCTCTAAATTAAAGTTTTCCATCAGAATATTTCACTTTTGTAGATTTGGAAATTTGTTATTTGAACTTTTCCATTGGGTACTGAGATGACAGCTCCTTATCGAGCAACTGGCAGAAAATGACACCAGGAAGCTCCTGGATTGGTAATCCTCCCTCTCAGGTGGCTGAGATTTTAAGCACCTGCAGCAGTACAAATATGATGATGAGCTACATGAAATCTTTTCCAGTAAATTAGTACATGGATTTTTGTTCTGTTTTTGAGGAAAGTGTCCTGGATCATGCTAAATTAGCAACAAGAAAATCGGGGTTGATGCACGTAAAAAGTATTTGTAAACTGAAACTGAATTTGCCAAGTAGTTTTTCTGATGAAACAAACAAATCAGTATTTATTCTATTGCTGAACTAGAGAAAATAATCTGGCAACTTTTCAAAAATGACAGATATGAAAGCAGCTTGTTACCTTGCTAAACCCTTTGCTTCATTGTATGTTTTCAACACTTTCTATTCTCAATTTCTTTTTTCATGTCAAAGTAATGAGAGGATTCTATCTTTATTAACAAAGAAAACACAGTATCTCATTACAAGACTGTTAAGTGACAGTGTTATCTACCAGTGGATATAACATAATAGCTGCCTCCTGTCCTTCATTATCAAAGCAACACAAACGGTCCCAGATGACAGATAAGGGGTTTTGTCTCATCAAGCTACAGCTATTCATGCTTTTAATTTTGAAACTCTTCAGTCCCTGATTAGTTGGCCAGCACTATATCAATCACAACAGGACTGGGAATATGATAATTTAGCCAAGTAAGAAGCTTGCCAGTCTCTTGTTTTAGAAGAGGAACAAATTCAGTGGGTAAACTGGATGTGACAACCTCAAAAAATGATTAATGCTGTTAACTTACTTGGTGCCTTATATTTTTGGAAAGTATCACACACCAGTGGGAAATAGGCCAAGATTGGTGCCTCTAAGCTGTCCTCAAACACATAGCATTCCTTCAGGTGTTCCCGGTCTTCCTGGCTCAGCTCCGTGCTGGGAAATGGGATCCCATGCTCCAAACAGTACTCTGAGAATAGGTCCAGCGGCTGGTTCAACAAAGAGAAGAGTTGCAACACAGAGGTTGAAATAAGGCTACCAAGGCATACTTACGTTTACAAATAAGGCTAACCATGCACTGAAACAAGCATACCCTCCTGGTTTTAACATATCTTAGGTAAACAGAAATTTGGTTGATTTGCTAACACTGTACATTAAGGCAAGATTACTGATTTCTGAAATTTATACAAAATTCAGATCATTTTTTTGTAATTTGGTGGGCACAATAGAGGATTTGGACCAGGAAATTTTGATTACACATGGTATCTCAGATCACAGGTTCTTGCATGTTTGCATTCAGTGCATCTAGCAATTAATGTCTTTGTGTCCTCCTACAAAGAGATCACATTAATTTCAATCATATACACCCCTCAATGTTTCTTCAAACATGGCAAAACAAAAACCTGACTGAAACTTATTCTAACACCGAGAGTCAAACAAAAGAAAAAGTCCAAATTTTCATTCAAAAATAGCAGAATTATGTATTAACTAATCACACTGTAAATGTTACTTAACTAACGACTGAGGAACTTGGTACCAGAATGACAAATCCACACAGATACACAGAATAGGTAATATTTTACGTGTCTGTGTCCAGGTGTGTGTCCCAGAAAGCAGCCAAAAATAGCCCCAATAAAGACAGGGACATTATGGCCATGGTGTTGAATAGTAACACTGATATGATCATTTAACTTAATAAAAACCAGACCATTTTCTGGAAAAAAAGAGAAATGTGGTAATTCAGCTGCTGGAGTCATACAGATAAAGAATCAGTATTTCAAAACCTCACCAGGGTCTGTGATCCCCCGCTGTAATTTAAATGCAAAATGACATCAACTTTCCTCTCTGGTCTCAGAACAGGTGGGCAGCTGGTGTTGATGAAGAAAGCTGTATCTACCAGCTTGAGGTAGTCACCCATTTCATTCAGCTGATTGGGAGAAGAATCCAGCACTGTGTCTGAAAGTCAAAAACTTACGTTATCAATTGATTACTTCAGGAACAAGTCCGTTTTTTTTCCAAATCAGCATAACAAGAAAGAAAAGACAGCCCAGATTTACATTAGTCTTTGACACAAAGCCCACAGTTAAATATTTGTCTTTGACACAATTTTAGCATCTACAGCTCAACTCTGAGATCATTAAGAAGGAGCAGTTCTGAGACTCAGATTCATTCGAAGTCAGGTATTAAGCTGCTTTTTCAACTCATGTAAATTTGTGGCTGTTTAACTTCAGTGGAAGCTCTAAGTCCTTCTTTTACGGCTTTTCCTAGGAAGAACAGAATTCAAGCAAGCCTGCTGTGGCTTCTCAAAACAAGACCAGCAGTAAATCATCTGGGGCTCAGCAAAACCAACTCCACAAACATATTAATCAAATACTACTAATCAAAATTTGCCTTTATGCTAAAGCTTAGCAAATTTTTGTACTCAGCAAGTATCAGCACTCAATTCACCTTCAAAGATGCATCCAAAATAACTTACTATTACCTTTCCACATGCAAAAGCTCTCATTCCCTAAATAATTCTTATGTAGCTGCAAGCCCTTGAGGAAATTATGGTAAGTTGAAACCACTGGGCGTCCGGTCATCATTTCTCGAAGAGTAGTGGAAAGGTAACCTTTAGGAATGGATAAGGAAGTTGTCTGTTCATGAGGCTTCCTGGGCAGAGCAGGGTGTTCCTCTGTAAGACGAATGAGAAGAGGGTATATTGTCTGCATTTGCTTAGAGTGTTTCTCTGATAGTAATAACACAGAAAAAGGGGCTGGGCAGTCAAGCCACCATGACCTCATCTGTGATGGAGAGCAGACACCAACATGCAGACTGTTCTGGGCAGAGCTGGGTTTCAGTGTCACAGCATCACCTTGTTGTTACCTGCCTGCCCTCTCCCTCCCCAAAGGACTCATGGTAACACTCTTGTGACTAACAAAACCCCCCAGGGATGATGGCACAGTGAGCAGCACCATGTTTTTTTCCTGTTTTCCAGCACAATTGTTTCTCTCCTGTTTTTCCTTCATTCCCAAAGCCTTGGTGTCCCCTGACCCAGAAATAGGATACAAAACCAAATTCTTTACCAAATGTTATGTTTCACATTTCAGAGAGGTATGAAGACAATGCAGATGCAAATGAAGAGTAAACCAAGTAACTAACCAATGTCATGCTCAGTGTCTCGGGTCCATCTGTGCCAGAAGCTGTCTGAATGACCCGACAGGTAGACAGCATCCATAAAATTCTGGGAAAATATATTACTCCATGTGCCTTGAGAGTTTAAATTAAAAAAAGAAAAAAAAAAAAAAGAAAACCATACTTAACACCGCTTAAAATTTTTAGAGCACAGCTATGGCAATCTACTTAGATTCAGTCCCTGTGGTTATTAAGTTTTAGTCAGCAAATATTGTTATTTTTAATATAAATATCAAAGGCCATGCCATTCCACGTAATATATGGATTATGACTAGGCCATTTTAGATACTCTGCTGTTTACAAAAGTCAGACTGTGTCTTTAAATATTTCAAAAATTAATTTCTAACGTGTGTGTTGTGTTTTGGTCTAACTTAAGAAGTTCAGCAAATTAATTGCATCTCAAGAATTTGCTTCCTCTTTTGTCCCTTTTGGCTGGTTCATTTGAGATTTAAATTGCATCAGATACTGGTACACTAGCAATGCTACTTGCAGTCCAGTAGTTATTAGGTGACAATTTTGCATAGCCAACTACGTGGTTATAAAAGTGATGTTTTTCTGGGATAGTAAATCACCTTCCAAGAAGCAGATGTGGGACTCTGGGATCTTCTTCATCAGGTGGCCCATGAAGAACTCGCTACCAAAATCCTCTGAACGAACAAAGGCCCCGTATTTCAAGAAACCCACCTCATAAGGTGTGAACTCCAACCACTCTGCAAATAAGGCATCAAGGACTTACTGCAGGCATCGGAACACATCTTAAAATAACAGCTTACAGAATCAAAAGCTGAAAGAATAAGGCCTGTAGCTTCAGCATGTAGGTGACAGACAGTTCAAACCACCATGTCTTGAAACAAACAGGTGCCCTTCAAGGTACTGCTTGTTAGATCGGTGAATGCAAAAGCTAAATTCACCTCCTCCACTAACACTGGGAGCGTCCATTCAACTGGGGGTTCAGGTCCATTTCTGTACCAGGAAGCAAAAACAAGGGCTGGAAAACCACCGATTGCACAAGATGTAGTGCTTTTAGTTCTTCTGAGTCAGCAGTGACACTAGCTACCAGTCATTCTTATACTCTAATAATCACTGCCTGGGGAATCTAAAATAACTGACCAAAACCCACCCAAATCTTGGCTGAACACAGTGGGACTGCAGATTGTGTCAAGAAGCAGACAGATGATTATGTTCAGCTGTAGAACCTCCTGCTTCATTTGGGCCAGAAAACACCGTGGAAATAGTAACCAGCGTCACTGATCAGGGCACAGAGTGCTGCCCCTCCTCAGACACCTCTCTGCTTGCTGGGAGCTGCCTCCTGCTCCCACCCCTCTCCACATCTCCACTTCTCCTGCCTTTCTTGCCCTCCTCCCCCAGCACTTCAGAGCTCTCCTGGACTACTGCTGCTTGGGCAGGAACCCCAGCAGCTGAAAGACGCTGGGAGGAATAGGTGGGGATGAGAGAGAGAATGAACAGCAGTGGTGGCTCTCAAGGCTGCCAGCAAAAGGCATCTCCACCCCTCACAGGGCAGTGTCTTTGCACAGGTATCTCCCTACCATAGCATTAGGATGCATGTTTTTCACCCAAGTCCAAACCCAAATGTGAAGACAGGGGAAAATAAATTATTTAAATGATTTTTTTATCTTGGACTTACAGTAAAAGCTTCTGGCATTCAGCCGGCATGAAAAGAAAAATCTTTACATTTATAAAAGTACGTATAATAATCATTACCTTTAAAATCCAAAGTGCTAAAGTCATCCTTGACATTGAGGGACAGGTATATGGGCAGTGGATTCTGCCCCTGATTTACTGCCAGTTGTTGATCAGAGAGTTTGTGAGTACTTCCCTGTTTATAAAGAGCAGAAGTCATTGTAAAACATGAAAATGATGCATAGCCTTAATATGGTATGTAAGTATGGACTATCAATGAAACATCTCCTAAACCTCAGCAGATTTTGTTCTGTGTACTTCAGGTGTTTGACCACTCAAATGTGTTCAAGTATTATCCAATAACAACCTTTGCCAAAGCATTATCACTGATGCTTCTGGGAATTTTGGAATGGGTGATGGAGCAAAAATGTGAGAAACTTGTCTGTGCAGTCACCAGGATAAAACTTGCTTTAAGGAAAGATAAAAATATTTAGCTACCTTGGAGGTACTGCAGATAAAAGTCTACCAGGGCCCATTCATTCAATAAAGCTTTGCTTGCTGGCATGGCAATATATTGCTATGCCTGAACTTAGCTCTGTCAGAGCCACCTCTCCTCTGTATGTTACTAAAATGCTCATTTGATCTAAAGTTAAAGATGGAAAAATCAGTTCCATTAAACCTTGACTTTTTACATGCTCAGACATTTCCCCTAGATGCTTACACTTCAGGCTTACTGTGGTATTTTCCTTCTAAAAAGCCAAGGAAAGACCCCTCAGAAGTTTTGAGAGCCTTTCCTATAACTGAATCCAGAACTTTAGACATGAAAAGTTAGAAATACTCTGGAATAAGTGATGAATATATAATACCTGATGATGTAACATACAATCAATGAAGAGTCCCCATAAATCTGTAAAGGACAGCTTATGCCCCTCTTGCTTTCTTTCACAGAGCTCCTTTTCATAGTATTTCATATGATCCAAGGAGAAACACTGCAGTTTGCTCTTGATCACATGTTTCCTGATATCACCAACTGGCTCCCTGAGATCCTTCTGTGACCAATTTGCATCTTCATATAACTTTGCCATGGTCCTGGTAAAATGAAACATACCGACATACCATGGTTCATCACTTGGTACATTACAATTCATGGGCTTATACCCCACATAAGTATTTTGTTTCAGGATACAAGAGTCTCTCACCCTTCAACTTTTACCTTGGAAGAGCAGTTCAAAGCTGAGGTAGAATTTAGACTATAAAGTGATATTTTTGCTGCAGGGACACATTCAAAATCATCCTATCTTGTTTGTTCTTAGAATCAGAAAAATAATAAATCAACACCCATAACTTAACACAGCTTTTACTAGAATTACCCTTCGATTGTCCAGGTTCAAGCCACAGCTTCTGTCTGAGGCCAGTTCCCTCAGCTGTGTGAAACATTAAGCAGGAGTTTAGCAGCAAACATTGTCCTGGACAAGTGCAAGAGCTCCTCACCTTGGGCACGCAGCCTCTTGGCACACACAGGGCAAGTCTGCTTGAGATTTCGGTTCCCAAAGTTCGAGCAGATTCCAGTCATCCCTTCACATCCCCACCCCACTTGTTCCAGTTCTGTCTCGTGTATCTTTTTAGAGCAGCCCTCCAGAGCCAAAACATTTGAAAGCCCGAGACCCCTGCTAGTCATGCAGGGCAGTCAACATTGTGTGGATGACACTCTTTCTCAAGGCTTTTCTTTTAAATTCTCCTGTCCAGAGCTGCATAAGAGTTGAGCCAAATATTACAAGAGAATTTCTGAAGTGTTACATGGAAGATAACCCACGAGACTTACAAGGGAGGGGAAAAGAGTATTTCCCTACTTTCATTTCCTCATTGCTCTCAAGCACACTTGGGGATCAGGTCTGCATCTTTTTCAGAGATTCTAGTCCCCAGGAATCCAGCTGCATTTCTTCTCTTGCACATCTGCAGCATCTTCTCTGACTTGTGATTAATATCTCACTCGCCTGCACTGGCAATCAAAAGGTTTACTTCTTCCCCAGGAAGCAATCCTCATTTCTTACATTCCTAAGGAAATGCTAGCTTTTTGGCCTAGCGGACCCTATTCAGTCCCTTGCAGATAGCCATAAATAACCACTTTTCATTCCAAGTGAAACACCAAGACACCTCTACTCCCCATCTTAACATAGAAATCTTTTCTGCCAGGTAACTGGGAAATGAGAAATGAAACCAAGTCATACAGAATTTTCACCAAAAAATAAATACATTTCCCACCCATTCTGTGTGCCAGATGCTGAGTTTATGACAAAAACAAGTCCAGCCCCCAGGAGAACCCATAATGCATGGCATGGCAGAAAGGCACATATTTGAACCACAGAACAGCTGTGGGTGGGTTTGTCACCTACACCGAACTGCGGGGAGATACAGGTAAACCATCCTGGCTTGTGCTCTTTTCTTTTAGTTTCTGTAAACACTTCCGTGCAATTATAGAAATACAATAGTTCTCACTCAATTATTTTCTTGTAGCTAGAAGAAATAAGGGCTACAGCACTAGGTGGTGCCATGAAATGGATGAGCACCAAGAGAAAGCCAGGTCCCAGCATCACGCTGAATAAAATTCGTCTGCAAGACAATATGCTTCACCAGGTTATCACTCTGCTAACACAAACAGCAAGCACAAGCTCAACCCTTCTTACCATGTTGTGGCAGATAAACCACTGATGTATGAAACACAGTCCAAAACACCTAATTCCTGGAGAGCCAGAAGGCTGCCAAACATAGCTGTCATGGACCGCACTCCCCCTGCGGTGGTCACGACTGCCACCACCGGCACCTGCGCAACACAAAGGCACAGAGTCATTCATCACCAGACAAAACAGAGAAGTGATGGGTGTGCAGGTAAAGTAACAACAACACCCTGATTCGAGTAGGTTTGGATTCAATTCACCCTCTTCATGGCAGTGTGTTTGAGTTGTGTATGCTTTGGTGGGACTTGGTGTGTGCTGAAAAGTATCTTCCTGATCAGTGATGCTCTGGTAAATCAGAAGCTGTAAGTACAGCTCTTCTAAGCATAATCTATTTTCAGATTTGTAAAGAGTCTTTTCTAGATGTTTTCCAGTTTTCTTCACGTCTTTCCCTCAAAACACATCCCTTGAAAATCCTCAGTATAACAGAGGTCAGAGAAGTAAAGCATCATTCTTGTTTCCTCTAAGTTTATATACAACATTTACTATTCTCCAAGCAGATGGTGCCAAACTTACAGATTTATTTTAACATCCTCTTCATTACCCAGTTTACCTTCCCCTTCCCTGACACTAATGCTATAAGTAATTTGGTTTTACTTTCCTGAGGCATGCAGCAGTTCTGTTAGCCATCCTTCTATTGCCCCATAGGTAGCACTTAAAAACTGAGACAACATATTTATTCAGTTTTAGGAACATATCTTGCCATTACCATTAATCCTGTCTTCATTGTATTTTACCATCTACTTCGGCGGGTTGTTCTTTGTTTTTTAATTAATATGACTCAATAACCCTTTATTCTCATTTAACACTAACAAGTCCTATTCTACTTGTTATTTAAGTTCATGAGCACTTTGACTTGGCTGACAAGTGCTGTCCTGCACACAGCATCAAGGGATGGGTGTGCTGGGAGCCAAACAGAGCAGTGGAGGAAATCCCACACAGGCACATTCTTCCAGTTGCAGAAGAATGTGTCTCCCTGACTCTTGCTGCAAGCATCACAGACCCATAACAGGCCCATTACTGTCCTCCAGTAACAGAGCAGCTACCTCTGATCCAGGGATCCCCAGGAGAGGAGAAAGCAAGAGGTAACACACCAAAAACCACACAAGATGGATGTTGATGTACCTGCATGCTGAGAGTCACAGCCTTCCTCTCTGGGCCTTGTGTAGCAGCAGAGAAGGGGAGAGGTGCCAAACTGAGGAGAAAGGGTCTCAGTCCAAGCAACCAAATTACACCAAGCTTGTCTATACATACATTCATCTCAACAAATTTGTTCTTTGAGTGTCTCTGAGTGAGGATGGAGGCTGGCAGAGAACAAAGGAGTTATGTGACATCCTGTCAGTTCCTCTTGGATTGGATCCTCTGTGCCAAAAATTCCTGGATATGGTCTTAGGTGCAAGTGACAATCTGGCCTATACATTTTATTCTAGAAGATATGGAAGAGCTATATGGGTAGTCATGCAAGTACCTCACATCCACTTCATTGAAAGTGGGAGGGACAGAATACTTTAAGTTCCCAAGATGCTGTCCCACATACCTCATCCTCCTGCAGGTCTTCATCTAGATGAAGAACATTTTTCAGGGCAGCAGCAACCACCTTCTTCCTTTTACAAATGAAATCCTGCTCCTCTGTACACAGATCAAACCCCAAACGCAAATCTAAATTCTTGCAACTAGAGCATAAGAACAGAACAAGACACATTAACTATAAAGCCATTTCTAGAGCCACTGCTTGAACTATCAAGCACAATCATCAACAAAAAACAGTTTAAAGAAAGGCTACTTCCATGCACATGAATATTGCTCCATGCAAATTAAAGCAGGTATATAGATATCACAGGTCCTGTATTTCTGTCTTCCTGTGGAGATTTTAGACCAGAACCATGTCCTGAACTATTTTAAGCAATCATGAGGAAGTTAAAGGAATCAAATTCTCTGCTGATGAAAAACAAGGAACTTGAACGAATTCAAGCTGTTTCATTTTGAGCTCTGAAATTTGGACACCTCATCATGTTGTCTCGCTATGTATGTCTTTCCTGAAGAGCAGAGGGGGCCCAAGCAGTCACTTAACACACTTTAGGTAAAATGTCCCTAATATCGTGTTAGGCTTATCTCTAGTAAGAATGTGTGCTGTAAATACTTGAGTCAGAAGATGTCTCTTCAGTGTATCCCTTACATGATTACAAACATCATGCGCACCGTTCATTCTATAACTTCTATTTTCACAGGGCTACTGTTTCAGGGGGTTTTCAGCCAAAAGGTTATTTTGTCCCTTCTGTGACCCATAATTAATATTCAGTAAAAACCTCTAATTTATCATGTCTGCAGTTAGTGCTTGCAATGTATCTAACTAATCAGTAGGGGGTAATGTTGCCCTTCGGAAAGTCACTGCAAGCCAGTCAAGAAATTACTGTCCACGTGTTTCATTGAAAAACGACCTGCAGAGGACTGGTAAATGCATAACACATGTTAGAAAGGTGTTACACAGAAACCTCTATGTATTATAATATATATATATTATAATATATATTATAAATAGATAGATATTCTGTTACACAGAAACCTGTATGTATTATAGATAGAAGATTATGAGACAGATAAATTCTTAAGCATCAAAATTAGGAAGAGTCAACATTAGGAATAACATTATGGCTGGTTATAACCCATGACTACCTACCACCTATTGCATGATGAACTCTTACCGACAATTTAAAAACATGTATAACTTTAAGGAAGACTAAAATATGTTACAATCTTTTTTCCTGCTTTTGAAATGACCTAGTTTAAGCTGTAGTTGGCTTTCCTCTAAAGATGATACTATGAAAGGACAGGAGAGAGCCAAAAGAAATCAAAGATTTACCTGTCTTTTTCCTTCACAGACACCTCATAAGATTCACCCTGAGAATCAAGAATGAAAACATCATAAATTTTAATTAGAATTGAAAGTTTGCAAAAGCAAGTTTTACAGTATTAGAAATTATTCAGATATATAGTCTAATGATAAATCTTTGGTCTCTTCTCAGGCCTTCTGCACACAATCATCACTAGGATCCTGCTTTTAAAATACTTTTAAAGCAATCAGAAATTCTGAATAAGCTAATTTTTCCCCTGAATAATAGTTATATTTCTGAGTGTATGCAGATCTGAGCATACATATAACTCAGCTAGTACTTTTTTAATAACAAAATTAATAATGAACTGGGTATTACATAGATATAGTTTACCTCGTTGAAATAATTCCAAATGCTCTCAAAGGTTACTCACTCTCATCACAGTTACTTCCTTTCCCAAATCCAGAGAATGGAGAGGCACAGCCAGGGGACTACTTACATCCACTTCTCTCCTAGCTGAGCCATGCTGAAGTAAAATGGGAAAAAATATATAACGTTATATATATATATATATATATATATATATATATATATATATATATATAT